CTGCCACCAGAGTTTGACCGGACTCCACACAAAGACGTTTGCTGATTCTGTTCTAAACATTTTAGATTTCAGCATTCCCATTGTGTATCCTTGGAAGGAAAAGATGTATAATAATAAGGTTATTACGAGAATACCTCAAAGTATGCACTCTGACAGTATGCCTCCCACTGTGCATTGGTCGATACTGGAGCTGTACTGTCTTTGTGCATACTTTAAGATATTCTCGTTATAACCTCGTATTATAGCCATTCAAAGCACTATTCAAGCAACAACCTCGCTCAACCGAACATGAATATACCTATGAATCCTTATCAAATGCTTCCAACCCCCTCATCCAAGTCAAATATTGAATAAATCTCGACTATCAGTTTTGGTTCCCTATTTAAGTATTAAAGGTTATACCTTTTGGTGTTTAGCTTTTGTAGTACAATTTGAATTGAGCAACTGTCAATCATAAGCATGGAATAACCACCTAATAGTGATCACGGAGAAACAAAACCTGGCAGTTATGCAGTTACCAAGATGCTCATGAGATACAGCCAGTTTGCTGCTACATGTACATGCAAGAACTTGTTATTAGACAGACACTAGAAGCCCTTGATTATCATCAACCCTTGTATGTTCAGTACCTACCTTGCGAACCAACTGTTTTCTAAACTCACTCATCTCCCCAATAACTCCCCGTAGAAATTCACCATAGTCAATCTTATTGTCGCCATTTTGATCCAATATCTTCCATAATGAGTCAAATTTCTGTTGAAGACAAAAACAATTTATAATATGGGAGTAGTGAAGATTTTCAGGAAGTAAAATTCACACTAATCATTTTCATAGAAGAATCATTTTAAACCATTTCTAACTATAGTTTGGATTAAAATAATTCACACTAATTAAAAATCGATGTAATGTAATACGTAGACTAAATGTGGTCATGTGACTGTAAATAAATTCTTTATTGAAGTTTCATACGAGTACAAGCAAATACCAAGTAAATATGCATATTTCGTCATGTTCCATTTATACTAGCCTGACATGTAGGCTTGAGTGGCACCCTCGCCGCTGGCATCAGACCCCACTAACATCTGACAGAATAGTGTATGTCTCGTTGGCAAGATCAATACTGCGAATTCTTTCAATGAATATTCATTTTGGTGGTCAAGGTAACAACATGTGGAAGGCACAACTTGCGTGACCTTGTCAAGCTACAACAGACTGTCTTTCCTGTGCAGATGCTCACTCGTAACCAGGAAGACAAAGCCCTGTTTGTAATGTCGGCAAAAATCACATACTGTTTTCAACAAAAAAATAAACATTGGGCGGAAATTTGCCAGCACCTTATCACACATTATGTCAATAAATAAACTCTGCCGTGAATGGTTACTCTTTGATGGCCGACGTTCCTGCAATTTGATTGGTATCAACAAAAAATCATCGGGAGAAGTGAAAAACTACATCACTCTGTCAGGCGTGTACTGGGAGCACCGCAAAGGGCACACTTCACGCGACCTTGTCAGGCTACATTTATAATAGAGCTTTGACATTTTCATAGCATTATAAGATATACCTGTAGATTCTATAAACCATAAAAAAGTACATAATGAGCCGAAAAAAGTTCCTACTTTGCAAATTTGTAAGGTGCCATCAACTGACCAATATATACACCATCAAACGTTCAGATTGTGAATGGGTAATTGAGAAATTAACTGCAGAATATAAAATCAAGCACACTTCCTAAATTAAGCTGATTTGTAAACAACAACCCTCACTGAGTTAGGATTTGTTTGCGCTTAAAGGTCAGTTACATTGGAGGTAAGTTTGTCAAACCCTCCAGCACTTTCAAGTTGAAATGGACAGTAAAGTGAGGACAAGGATATCCAATGATAGGGCGGCATCATTTGAACACATTTTATGTTTTTAACTTGTTCTGGGAGTGATGTTTGTGGGAATGTAACTTTAAGGCAAGCTAAAAAAAAAAATTGTATTTATCACTTCGTAGAAATATGTATTTGCCAATTTGTCTACTAAGATTGAGTAACTTTCTGTCAAAGTGGTTTATAAAGTTAACCAGCCCTCCATATTAAATATATAGCAAAGGAATGTTGTTGTTGTAGGTTGCATCCATTGGCCAACTTTCTTTCTCACCCTAACAACAAATCAAGAAATTAAACAAAATAATCTTACTTTCTCATCAATATCAATATGATATGTCTTTAACGCTTTCTGGAGTTCTGATCTGTTGAGCAGTCCATCTCCTGACTGGTCAATTTTCCTGAAATGTTGGCCCATTCCAGTTAGCGTCCGGATACCTCTCTTCTTTAATTGTTTTCTCACTTCCCCTACGAGATACATGTAGTATCAAATGAATAAACTTACTGACTAAACACTTACAGCTGAAACTGTAAGCGTGGACTTTCGGATGGGAGACATGATAAAGCAGACACATTCAAATATGTATTTCATGACAAAATAAACGAAGACGTAACCTCCAGTCACATATGCACACTACGTTTAATTGTACCCTGTGTTTTGGTTGTATTGCAGTTTGTGAATATGACATTAAGGTGAGGAGAACTGTGAAAAAACAATTACTGTCTCTCTGTACTAGGTACTACTGGGGTAGTGATAAATTAAATACACAGTAAGACTTTTGAAATGTCTGGTAGTTGCACGCTACGTTTCACTCAAGGTTTCACTTGCCACACACCTTGTATGTCTGACATGAATTTATAATCTTCATATTCTTGTCTTGTAAAAGGTGGTTGCATACCAGCCTGGTATTCGTCGGGATCCATGGGAATATGGCCATCAAATCTATAAATCAATTGGAGAGGAATTATTCAGTATGGGAATGACGCGTAATATTCCATATTTATATAAATACAGTATATAAAATTTCTTCATTTTTACTACTGTGTTTTTCTCGTATTTGCAATAACATAAACACAGCATTAATAAAAAGCTATCAATCTCTATAAAGGTCGGATTTGACTCCAAACACATCAAGTTCACTTCCATATAATCTCTAGAAAAATCAAATCATGGCAAAACACACTATTTAATGGCCAATTTGACAGAAGAAAAAAATATTATTTTTGCCAGAAATGTAAGTATATGAATTAATACAGCTGTCATATTAAATATTCAATTTTTGAATGGTTGAAAGACATGTGAGGTTTAAGTCAGAGGTTAAATGATTTCAAACAGAGAAATTAGAAAAAAATGTGTAACTAGTTTTATTTGTCATCAATAAGAAGAGGTGGATTCGGAGCATTTGAGCGTGGTAAATTTTCTGCCAGGTGGATTGCTAGAGGCTATATAAATATACTATATACCTATATCAAGTATGTAGGCCCCAAAGTTTGGAATAATATTCCAGAAAGCGTTAAAAAGCACCACACGAGATATTCCTTTAACAAAATTCATATTAGCTCTTGTATTTAAATACATTGTTTCTATTCACTTAATATTTCACAGCCTCTTGATAGCCATAAATTGTTTTTGTTTATTGTAGTTTTTGAGACTGACGAAGACTGGGCTAGATTAGTTGTTGGACAACTATTTTTCAGTCTTCTTGTCTTATTTATTTTTCATTTTGTTTTGTTATTTATCATTAAATTAAATTAAAGATATTAGGTGGTGCAACTATGCTTAGATCCATCTAAAACGATCATGGTAGATAACACTGCAGTTTTAATATGAGGATTAGTTGAAGTATTGGTATACTTACACAAAGTTAGCTTTGGCTCGTTCATCCACTTCTGCCACACGTATAATGATCACCTGTTGTTGTCGAAGTGTCTGAGGTATTGAATTCTGATCACTAGTGGAAAATGTTAAATTAGAACCCTGCAAAAATGAATAATAATTCTAATGAAAAAAACAAAAATTCCAAGATATGGATTGTAATTGCAGACCCTACCTTGAAGCAGGAGTAAAAATAAGGTGCGAGATGTCAAAGAAATGAAGATCACAGAATTGTACAAAACTTCAGAGAAACCAAGGTAGGATAAGTTGCAGTATAGGAGTGGAGATGGAGAATTGTACAAAACTTCAGAGAAACCAAGGTAGGATAAGTTGCAGTATAGGAGTGGAGATGGAGAATGATTCAGAGAGGAATTATGAGGAAGTTAGAGCAGTGATGGCAATGGTCACAATGATTGCAAAAAAAAAAAAGAGTCTTGTAAAGCATCAGTAGTAATGAAGATGAAGATTGGAAAATAATGAAGCAGCGATGACGTATGTAGGGAACCAAGATGCCTCCTTGTACAGAGAAGCAAAGAGCTTAATATTCTATACTAAATATCATCTGACTCCCTTTACTTCAACTGAAATATTTCACTTACAGTAAATATATCTTGTATTACATACAAACTTCCTCGTCTCCGTCCAGTTACATGTTTATAACATCCTCTTTGTATGAATGGTAGAGCAGAGGATCTACAATAAAATAGTATATGATAGATTATAGTTCATCATACCGGATAAGAACATGCAATAAGACATTGTTATAATATATATGCTGTACCATATTTGATAGCATTAGTAGCAAGTAATCTGATATGAGCAAAATAAACAAGTCATTGTCAATGATAAGTCCTCTTCCAGATTTTTGTGACAGTAAACATTAGAGCCAAATAATTATTTAAACTCATGTGACAGACATGATACAAAGTTTGTGTGATTCCTTCCTTTATTATGCCCATGCCATTCATAATGCATTCCTAGAATAAAAATGACGATCAGCCATCTTGAATCAGATTCTAAAACAGATGCATGTGTTACATGATGCATGTGTAAAATTGGAACATTATCACTCCAGCCATGTTAGCAATATGGCTCCAAAAACAGCAGTCGTTAAAAATAAAATTGCCACCAGTCAGCCATTTTGAATAAAATGTGGTAAAACAAAATGACATGCATTAAGTATGCATTATGTTTAAAGACGTATCAAGTTTGAGTTATGTCCATGCATGACTGAGATCCAGTTCCGGAATAGCAGAAATGCTTGATTTTAACAAACTTTTAGCACAAAAATGGCCACCATTCGGCAATTTTGAATTTGGATCAAGAAATACATACATGTGCTTATGTATGATATGATGTGTGATGCCTGAATAAAAAATCAGCTCAGGCATGTCAGAGATACAGGTGCGGATGGATGCATGGATGCACAGAGGTGTAATTAAAAGACAGGTTTGACCACCAGTCATTCTGATCCTGCTTTGCTGCTTGTCATAACAACTAAAATATTTCACTACATGTAAATATGTAATGATCTGACATAATAAGAACTTGATGTGAAAATACTGCCCAGTGAGCCTATTTAACCTTGATCAAATAGACAAATCTGATTGGATGCACATGTAAAACATATGCCAAATAGGGGTTGGCACATCACACACAATATTGAATTATACACTAGAATCCCACCAAAAATTTGCAGGGTGTTGAATTGCCATAGAGGGCACACTTTAATACACATTTGGTGAACTTGATCTGCCAAGGTATAGTGATTTAATCAATGGATCATGGATAGAGAAGATGCACCAGCAAATGCCTTTAAATGGTCCATTATTCCTATCTACCATCAGGTATCGACTTTACATGGAGCACAAAGACATACATGGTATGATACTTACTTTTTGCCAAATTGCTTATATTCATATATCGTCAAAGTATTGTCGTGCATAAAATAGAAACCACAAAGCTCCCTGTGCGCATCACGACCATTTCTAAAGAAAAATTTGAAAGTATTGGAAGAAAAGATTGAAGCATATATGCCAAAAATTGAAAACATTGCAAATTACAAGATGACTAAGTGTTGCATAAATCATTCCTTCAAATACTGTAAACCAGTCTTCATGAAAGACAAGTTTTCAAAAGTCAATGTAGATCTTGAAATTATGTTCCAGGAGAAAAAACTGTTAGTGGAGTTCCGCAAATTTTGCCATCAAAAATACTATAATATTAATCCTGAAAACGCAAAGATTTCTGGCAGTGAAAAATAAACTGTTAATGGTCAGTATTATCAAAAAAAATGTTTAACTTTAAACATACTGATGTTTACATATACGCAAAAACTTGTCACTAATCATTTGTAATGAATATGTAATACTTGTAATGAATATCATTAAAATCCCATAAACAGTTTTTGAAATATATAATTCGAAAATCCAATGAAAGCTAAAACTAACTTTTGTGAAAATTAAATAGATACTGATTTGAACCCTCCAAATACTCTACAAATTACCCAAGAACTCCTACCTGTATGTACTGACATTTAAGCGGAGAACATTATATATTTTGTTTATATAAATGTATATAAATTATGATTTGTGATTTATTGTGGATGAAAACTTCATGTACCTTGTTAGAATTCGGGCACCAAACATCAGCCGCTTGGAAAGTAAATTCTCTGTAGCTGTACCAGTTGTCCTTATCCTGAGTACAAAAAACAAAACAAAAAAAGTTGCACGCACTCAATCATAAAGAGTCTTGCAACTATAATGTGAACTATTCGATTGTCTTTTGTATAGTATTTGATGCACACGTTTACAAATATTTAATCTATTCCAATTACTGAGCATGTACTGTGAAATACTTTATTTTAGCTGTAATTAATTTATGCTGAAAAGTCTTTTTGGGTGTTTTTTATGAAATTTATTTTCACTGATTTTTGATGAGTTGAATGTAAAATATAGAAAAAAAGGTATATATTTGCTGGATTTTATTTTCACTGAATTATTACATCAGCAAAAATAGCGAAAATAACACTGAGCGAAAATAAAGTATTTTACAGTATTTAAATAAAGTTAAATCATCAAATATTTTCCACAAATCAAACATACTTATTCCATCAAATTTTACACATATAATATTTCTCAAACCCCAATAAAGTTTTTTCAATGATCCCAGAGTGCAATGATGACAGTAGAGATGCATAATAATACCAGAAGGTAGGTGCAACTAAATACAGAACATTGGATGTTCACATCTCATAATGGAATTAAAGTAAGAGGTAGACTGTTGACAGTTGTCCTTCCTACAAAGTAGTAATTTTTACATTAGAGGCTACTGAAGATGTGAAACATGAGTGCTGTAGACACAAGTGAACTATCACTTGCAAACGGTCTCACACTATGAAAATACGTATGGACACACATTTATCACATATTTACCAATCACACATGTTTAAAAAATTTGGTACTCAACCAGCATCATAGGTGAGGCGACTGTCAACAGTATAAATGAGAAGATTTATAATCTCAAAAGGCAAATTGAGGAGTCCCTGAGATGGTGGAGAATACGTTAAAAGTCAAACAAGGACCAAATTTATCTTAGTCTGATGTTAGAGGACAGTA